AGCCAGAGTGCTCCTTGGAGGCCAAGATGGCCAAATTTCGTCTCTCATACTTAGGACATATTGTCAGGAGGGACCAGTCACTGGAGAAGGACATCATGTTTGGTAGGTGGAGGATCAGAGAAAAAGAGGAAGACCCCGTACAAAATGGATTAGCCAAGTGGCCGTATTGATGGACTGAAGCGTGGCAATAATAGTAAGGTTGGCCCAGGATCAGGCAGTGTTTCGTTCTGCTGTGCATAAGGTTGCTATGATTTGGTACTGACTTGATGACACCTAACGACAACAACAACAATGATTAGACATCCTAAAATATAGTGATATTTTACACAACATTTTAATACACTGTTACAGATGTTGTTAAGTGCTGTCAAGTTGGTTCCGACTCATACCGACCCTCTATAGGGTTTCCAAAGAGCAGTTAATGGGTTTCATCTGTCACCCTGTGGTTCACACTTCAGTGCTGATCCATAGCACCACACCAGAAGTGCATTACAGATGTTACATAGTAATAAAATCCTGCTCAAATAAATCATACATTCTTGTAGAAAATAACTTGATTTTAATATATGCATATAATTTATTCATAAATGACAATGGCTTATAAAAGAGAAGTCTCTATTTGGCTCCATGCTCTACATTAATTGGGGTTAACAAATTAATGATTTAAAGCAGTCAAAATATGCAAGAAACTCTCATTGTCTGTTAAATCTTAATTTAGAACTACGTATCCAGGTCCAAGATAACTACACTGAGAAATTCTACTGAACAAATTGAAGGAAACCAGGATACTACCCATTGCAAAGGATTAAACCACAGTGATTTATGCTTTTATAACAATTTTGGAAAAACCTTAAGCTACATAAAGAGAAATCTACCATATCTAAATGTTGTTGTTGTTGTTAAGTGCCATGGAGTCAGTTGTGACTCATAACAACCCTGTATAGGGTTTCCATGACTTTAAATTGTCACAAGAGCAGAAAGCCTCATCTTTTTTCCAAGGAGAGGTTGGCAGGCTCGAACTGCAGACCTTGTGGTTCTCAGTCCAGTTCTTATCATATGGAGCCACCCCACTCTCACCATATCTAAATTGTTGTAAGTGCTGTCAGTCAGTTCCAACCCACAGCAATCCTGGATAGGGTTTCTGAGGAGCAGCTGGTGAGTTTGAACTGCCGACCTTGTGGTTCAAACCAACCTTATAGTCTAGTGCTTATGCTAGAGCACCACACTAAGACAGGTGTGTATAAAAGTTGCTCTCCATGTGCAGTAAAGTGTCAAGACAAAAAGATGGAACTGGTTGGCAAAACAAGTTAGTTTTTGCCACAGGTAGCCCAGCTCTGACCTACATATGTTTGAGCAATCATGAGAAAACAATATGAGTATTCTTTCCTACAAAATGGCAGATTAACACTAAGCACACAGCGTGTGGCAAACACTTTCTAGGTACAAAGATAAAGCTATGTACAAAGGTGTAGCCCAGCTTTTTAAAATTTATTCTTAAAGAGTTTTGCAAAAATAAATGAAACTGGTAATAGATAAAATAGGCAATGATAATTATCATGATAAATATCTATCTATAAAGGCAGTATACGAAGATATAGAACAATGGTGAGGAGTTGAAGTCTTCAGTTAGGGCAAGTCTGGTAAGGTGACTTGTGAGCAAAATCCTGAGCAAAGTGGAAACAAGTCCCATTAATCACTGATGAGGATAGGGATTCTCATCTTCTTCTCTTTTTGTAACCCTTCCACACCTCGTTTTATTACAGATGCACTCAGCCCTTTAGTAGCAGCAGGCCACATGCGGGTACTCAGAACTTTAAATGTGGCTCATCTTGAACGTAAAGTGCACATGGAGTTAAAAAAAACAAAGTATGACAAAAGAATGTGAAATAATTCATCAATAATTTTTGTTTTGGTATGTTGATCTTACAATATTTTAGATATATGGGGTTAAATAAAATATAATATTAAGCTTAATTTATCTGGTTTCTAGATCCCTTTTTTAAATGTCACTACTAGAAAACTTAAAATGGCATTCTTTATTTTTTGTTGTTGTTTACAGAGACCCCTTTATTAAGTCTTAAGACAGGACAAAGACAAGCAAAGTCAAGTTCTTTCAAATGAAGGAGAACCAACAGCATGAGGCCATAACTGTGTCCAGAGGTTTCAGTCACATGGCTAATTATACACAACATGGAAAACAAAAGAAACTGTCACAAAATCATGATTGGAGGCAGATCAATTCATCATTATCACAAGTGGGACTATGGAAGCAGGAAAGGGACCATGATTGGGATATGCACACTATCGTAGTTGACAGGATCTGCATTTTATTTCTACCATGTAGAGCTGTCTTTAGAGCTTACCTGGCTTGCTGTTATCCCCAGTGAAGGACCAAGATTGGGTAACATCCCTATGGCCCTTACAAGCAATTGCTCTATGACATCATTTCTAAAACTCATATTTGCTCCCACACTTTCTCCTTCCACAGTCTTCTCTATGTTGGTGAATGGCAACGCTATTGTTTTATTTCTGAATTACTTCAATAATATCCTAACTGATTTCTTTCTGTCCTTGACAATTTATCATCTTTCCTCAGCACTGTGGCCAGAGTGGTCCTTTTAAAATCTGAATCACATTACATTTTCTACCTCAATCCACCCAAAAGGATTTTTGAGGGATTTCTATTTCCCTCAGAGGCCAAATTCAATAGAAGGATCCCAACGGGCACAAGAAGCTTTACACCTCTTGGACCTTGTCTCTTCCTACAACAGTGACTTCAGCCACAGTTCACCAAATGCTGCTTCAAATAAGCACTTTGTGCTGTTTGTCCTTGCTGATGATTTTTTCTAGGTTGAATATACTTCTCCTAGATACAAATGCAACTCACAGGTCTTTGTCTTCATGTCACTTACTCAATGTGGCCTTACTGATCATCTTATTTCAGATTTTCATTCACAGCAACCCCACTGCCTCCTCACACCCTCCTTTCCTGCCTAATGTTTCTCCCTAGCACTTATCATCATCACAAATGCTTCTCATTTCTTTGTTTCCTGCTGGTCTCTTACTCTCCCTATCTAGAATTTAAAGTCCATGAGAATAGAGATTTATGCTGTTATTTCTGCCATAACTCTAGCACTGGAAACAGTTTTCAGACACATAGAGAAGGTACTTGTTAAATATGTTGTTTTTGTTGTTAAATGCAATGGAATCAGTTCCAACTCATAGCAATCCTGGATAGGGTTTCTGAAGAGTGGCTGGTGGGTTTGAACTGCTGGCCTTATAGTTAGCAGACCAGTGCTTATACTACAGCACCACACCAGGAATCCAAGTAAATTATACACTAAGAGAACAAATGAATCAATGAGTGAAAATGAATGAATGGACATGTGACCCAGTTCTAGCTAACTGTTGTTGTTGTTAAGTGCCGTCGAGTCGGTTCTGACCCATAGCGACCCCGTACAGGTTTCCGAGGCTGTAAATCTTTACAGGAGCAGAACGCCTTATCTTTCTCCCGCGGAGCCGCTGGTAGTTTCGAACTGCTGACCTTAAGGTTCGCAGCCCGATTCGTAACCACTACGCTACCAGAGCTCCTTTTACATTTGAAAATAAATTTTCTGGAGGCTTTAGAGAAGTTCCTTCCTTACTAAAAAAGAGAACCACATAAAGCCTCTCTCTCTCCAACCAGACATGAACAAATGAAAACATGGGCTTCTAAACAAGCAAATGAGGACTCCGTTTTGTATTGGCAAAGTGGAGAGGTAGAAAGCATCTGGACCACAGTGACATGGTTGAATATCCAAGTCACCCTGAAGCCCACCTTCTTAATGAACCTCCTCTTCATGTTTAAACCAGCTTGAGTTAGGATTTTCTTACTTGTAGAATATTTCATAGAAAGATGCAAAATAGCTATCATTATCACTCTAGTGAAGAAATCAGAATATGCTTTGTAAATAGGAATACATGATATACTATGGTTAAGTGTCTATTTGCTAATTTGTAATTTGTTCAGTTTGAGCATGGGAAATTTTACATGGTCATCCCTATTCACTGTCCAACTTTTGAATGCATATGTGGTTAATGAAAATACCATGGCTTGGGTCAGGCACACCTTAATCCTCAAACTGACACCTTTGCTCTTCAACACTTTAAAGATATCTTGTGCAGCAGCTCTGCCTAATGCAATACATCATTTGATTTCTTGACTAAGTGGTGGAAAGGAGTAATAGGAAAATAATGTATAAGTTCATGGAAAATAGATTTTAAAGGTAATAATAAAGTTTTTCCATGAGCTTTTGAAGCATCCTCATGTTTATATGTGATGTGTGTGGCACGAGGCAGTATACTGGTATACTTGGAAGTTGCTTCATAATTGTCCTAGGGCCTGAGAGCAGAGCTTAACTCCTGGACCAAGACCAAGTAAAACTGAAGTCTCTAAAAAGAAATTTGTGCAACAGAAGATTAGAAAAAGTTATCTCAGAGGGTCAGGTTTATACTACTATAAATGTTGTATATGTGTTGATATCATATAGAATGCCAAGTAGGAGGTGAAACAGAAAAAAGGGAACAGAACAAGGGTTAAGATATTCAAAGTTTGACTCAGTGAGTACTGATAACAGCTAATATATGAATACAATGAATAAATAATTTTTACTTCTAAGTAAAGGATCTTCAATATTATTACCTGAGCAAAAGCAACAATTCCATAGGCATCATCATTAGATATAATAGTCACTTTAACATAACCATTAATACCAATCTCTGCTCCTCCTTTGGGATTTTTAAGTTGAACTCTGAAGGATTCTTCTTTCTCTGGGATTACATCATCCAGGATATTTACCACTATTATAGCTTCTTTGTCTCCAGGTTCAAATATCAGTTCACCTGAGCTAATAATATAAGAAGTATACATCGAGTAAGTCAACTATGAAAAATTTAAGAAATAAACATAGTAAATTTGTTCAAATACTCTGGTTACATTAATATTATAATTTTTCATAAATATGAATTATAATCTCAAGGTGTTAATACTGATAAAGTTGATAGAATAGATATTGGAAATATGGCTAGTTGCCAAAATTCTGGTTTATCAACCTGCCTTATTTTTATACATTTTCTGTATCTAATAGAGAAATTAGATGGCATAAAACATGAAGACATGTGATATAAAATGTGGAACCTACCTAGGAATAAAGTCAGACTGCCTTGAGATGTAAGCCAGCTCATATATGTGTGAGTAGGAAGCTCCTACTAGAGCAATTAAATTCTTGCTTGAATTAAGGGACTTCACTGTAACAACAGCAGCATCCTGAGCAGACGGTGCTCCCAGAACAAAAGAGAACTGATTCAGCTCTGAATTCCAGCAGTAAAGAGCAGACCCATCTTGACCAATAAGAAGTATATGGACTATAGGAAAAAGGAAGACAACGAGAATGAAATGTAAGCAGTAACATCACACAATCCCTACATTGGACCCAAATAAAAACTCTTAAACTATTCTCAGAATTCCATTTTGATTTCTGAAAGAACTCAACATAATTCAATTTCTGAAACAACTGAAAGTTAAGCAGTAACTTTTAATTGCTATGGAAAAAAATCCAGCCAGCCTGATAATGTATACAAATTCATTTAATGAAAAAGTATCACTATGGGCCAGAGTAGATATTTAACAATATTGTTAAATATTAGCATATTTAACAAGCACCTCTTATGTATCTGAAAACTGATTCCAGTGCTCCCATAGGGTTTCCAAAACTATAGTATTTATAGAAGCAGGTGACAAGTTTGAACTGCAGTCCTTTCAGTTAGCAGCCAAACTCTTAACCATTGTGCCACCAGGACTCCTTCAGGTAAAGACCAAAAATCCTTTAAAACCCTGTCAGAACTGTCTACTGACTGATTACATTTTCAGCTACAACCTGTACCACTTTTCTCTCATTATCTGTGTTTGGGCCATTTCAGCCTCTTCCAGGTCCTTACCTAAGAGCGCACGCTCACCCTTGCCATTTGACCCCTTTGCACATGCTATTCCCTTTGCTTGAAGCCTGCCTTATGCTCAGCTCTTTACTTCATTAACGCCTACTCAACCTATCGGTCACAATTTAAATGATTCTTCCTCACAGAAGCTTTCTATACACACCTTATAGTGAGTCAAGTCCTCCTCATTTTGTGTTATGTGAGTACTTTATTATATTTTTTCATGGTTTATATTTGTAATGAAAAATGCATTTATGTGATTATGTATTTATTGTCTCTCTTCCCTACTACATGTTAGACTTATTCATAGCAGAGATTATACCTGACTTTGCTTACCCTCATTCCAGTGTCTACCACCATGCTTGGCACATAATTGACACTTATATATATCTACTAAATAAGAAAGGAGAGAAAGGAGAAGAAAAAGAAAAGTGTACATGTTGTTGAGTCCTTTTTAGTTTCATTCTTCCTCTCCATTTAAAGAAATCAGTCACCATCCCATAATCTGTCATTACCAAAATAAATATGTGATCCTCAAAGCCATAGCTTCAATATAATACTTTAATAAAATATTTGACACATTCAAAATAAGAAAGTCTTTGAATAATATTTAATGCATAATTTCAGCTTTCTGTGGATCTATAATAAGCCATTCTAAATAATTACCTATAATCTTTTCATACTTCTACAACCTCAAGTCACAGAAACAAAAGAAATAAAGAGACCTCACAATGGGTCCTTTAACAAGCCTTTGGCAGAATTTTTTTTCAAATTCTTTTAGAAAACGTGCCTATTATGTGTTTAAAACAATTTTTAAGAGAATTCTATAACTTCGGTTAATGGCCTATTCAGTCACTATTCATCGTACTTAAAAATATTCATTAGGCAACTATTTTGAATAATAAGTGACTCTGGGTTAGTCCACTTGAAAACTTAAGTATAAAAGAAGCAAAAATGATAAAGGCATAAAATAAAAAGATAAGTAGATAAAAATGAAACAAATACCTGATAAAAATTAAGTAATTTATTCAGTAAGTCATTGCTAAGTGAATGATAAGAAAGTCACTCCAGTAGTAAATCATAAGATAACATCATAAATTTAGGGTCAATTAGAATGTTAATAATGAAAACCATATAAAACCACTGCCATCACCTTATCCAGAAAAGCAGTGACACCAGAGATGGAGACAGAGATGGGGACATGGAGAGAAAGAGCAGCTGAGGACTCTAGATTCATAGGAAGAGAGGGACTGTGTGCCCTTTGGTTGTTTAAATTATTATATATGCCTGAGTGTTTTTTTTTGTTTTTTGGGTTGTTTTTAAAGCTAAAGTGAATAGAGAGAAATACTGTTAACTGATGGTACATGGAGGGAATTAGAAGCATTATAATGAAACAAAGTATATGATTTGTTGTATGTAAAAAAAAAAAAAAAATGGAAGGGAGACAGCTTTCCTTGGCAAAGCACTCACTGCCTTAGAAGAGGAATCCATCTTCACACTTCCTTTCCTTAAACATTGTACATACAGAAAATAAATACATAAATGTGTGGTGCAAAAAAAAACACTGCCATCAAATCAATTCCAACTCATAGTGACCCAATAAATGGTTTATGAGACTGTAAATCTTTAGGGGAGCACAAAGCCTCATCTTTCATCCACAGAACAGCTGGTGGGTTCGAACCACTAACCTTTTCATTATCAGCCCGATGCCTAACCCACAGCACAACCAGGGCTCCTTAACAATGCAAAGAAAAGTTATTTATGGATAAGATTAACACAATGGAGTCAGACACAAGAACCAAATAGTAGCATGACCACAGACAGGAGGCCAGAAAACTTAAATAGTAGACATGGGAAGTGCCAAGGTCTCGGAAAATGTGGTATGGACATATGGTTAAGGTAAAAGAGTAGGAAACACAGCAAGCAATGGAATAAAACAACAATATAATTTTTAAAATCTAAAAATGATAGAAAAATAACATCTGATTTCTGGTCAACAGTTGAAAGGACTTAAAGGTGATAGTAGGTAAATGTTACTGTACCTGGTAGAGAAAGCAGCAGTTTGGCACGTAAAGGAAATACTTCAAAAATAGGTTTCTCTGTGCTAAATCTTCTACCATTGATTTTATTTTATTTATTATTTTTTTTAATGTTTTACTGTGAATTATGTGATAGTTTACATGGCTAGAATGTTTGAACAGCCAACTTTGTGGTTCCAAACCAATCTTGTGGTCCAGTGCTTTATCCTCAATACCAAGATTATTGTTGTTGTTGTTAAATGTCGTTGAGTCAGTTCTGACCCATAACGACCCTGTATAAGGTTTCCAAGGAGCAGATGGTGAGCTTGAACTGCCAACCTTGCAGTTCAAACAGCTTTGCAGTCTGGTGCATTAACCTACAGTGCCACATCAGGACTCCCCATACCAAGATGTTGTTGTTGTTAAGTGCCATCGAGTCAGTTCCAACCCATAGCAACACTAATTTTGCCTCCAATGCCATAAAAATATTTTGCTTAGACTTTTCTCACTGCCCACAACGTTTTCTGTTTACTCATCAAAATCCTATCCAATTCACCACTGCGTAGCTCAAGCTTTCCTCTTAAACTCTAATCACTCCCATTTAAAATGATCTCTTCCTCTTCTGAATTCTACCACTCACAGGACAAATTATTATTTCCAACTTTGAATTATTGTCTTTATTTATTTATTTATTTTTCTAAGCAGACAGGAGCTCTGGTAGCGTAGTGGTTACGAGTCGGGCTGCGAGCCTCAAGGTCAGCAGTTCGAAACTACCAGCGGTTCTGCGGGAGAAAGATGAGGCGTTCTGCTCCCGTAAAGATTTACAGCCTCGGAAATCCTGTGTAGGGTCGCTATGAGTCGGAACCGACTCCACGGCACACAACAACAACAACAACAACAACAAGCAGACAGTAAATCTTTGGAGGGCAAGGAATTATTTATAACTTTGAAACAATAGCTTATATTTGTTGTTAGTTGCCATCAAGCCGATTCTGACCCATAGTGACCCTGTATAGGGTTTCCAAGGAGCAGCTGGTGACTTTGAACCACTGACCTTGCAGTTCAAATGACTTTGCAGTCTGACGCATTAGCCCACAACATGACACCAGGACTCCTGTATAGCTTATATACATAATATCAAATTAATATTTTCTATTTAATTCATTTTATACTTCATCAAGGCAATAACACTAGGAACAGAATTGCTCTGTCTTAATTTAAAACTGTGACTTTGACTCATGTTGACACATCTTTAATGCCACTCAGCCATGGTTTCCATTTACCTCCCAACACCTTATCAGGAAATACAAGTCCCCATTAACTGTCCTCTTCCTGCACTGTGCACATCTACCCAGGAAGGGATCTGAGAAGCCCATCACACCAACTGGACTTTGCCCCATTTCCTTATTGGTCGGAACTGACTCAATGACATTTAACAACAACATATTGTTCTAAGGACTAGGTAACGTTTAAAAACCCTTACCTATTCCTGAGACTGGTGTAAAGGTGTGGATTTGGAGAACAGTAGCAAAATCCAGAGACTGAAAATATCTGAAAGAAGACTGCCCTGTCTCCCAGATGAAAATGTCAATTGAATTCTGAGCTCCTATACAAATGGAACAAAAATCAGATCTGAAGGCAAAGTTACAGGAAAAATATGACAAAATTAGTCAGTAAAACTATGATAAAAATATTAAATTAATTTTTAACTTAGGAAATTAATCAGAATTTGCTTAAACAATATAACTTAGTAAATATGCTTCAAAAGTCTTTTAGCATTTACTAGATAAAATGTTAGCCACTAATTACATTCTGATGTTAAAGAAAAAACAGAAATAAACAGTTTTTCAAAAGCTGCTAACCACTATTACTACTATAAATTATCCATGGCACTTAAAGCAAAAAAATATTAAAAAGCTACATGTTTGTACATTGGGTTTAATGTCTTAAAATATCTTTCTACTTAACAACCTCCTTCCCAGCATAATTTTAATTTAATTCTTAAATTAAAAGAAATCACATAGTCATTAAATTAAAAATTTTAAAGTAGTGGCTATAAACATCACATGATTATGAACATTAACTTGAATTTTTCTCCAAAGTCTATTTCTAGCTGATAATAATCGTCATCCATCAGAAAACATTCTATAGATTAGCTAAAAAATTCCTTACGAAACAATTTTCATATAAAAAATGCAATATGAATGTTAGATGACTTTGATAAAAACTACACATGTATTACAAAGACTATATTTTCTCACCTAAGAATATATTTTTGGCAAAAATTAAGTAAACGTCATCGCCTAAAGTCAAAGCAGTAACTTGCGTTGTCCCACTGACCGGAACTTCAAGAAAGTGTATAAACCCATCATCAGACCATCTGAATAAAAGGGCAGTTAGCTCGGCATTAGCCTGGGAAACACCTAAGAACACATAGCCTCCTCTGTTGAACAAGGCCATGCTCAGCACACCTCGTACAGGGAGTGTTTGATGCAAAACAAAGCTTCTTCCATTCCATCTGAACACCTGTAAGAAATATTCAAACACACAACTCTTTACAATTATGAATGCAGCACTTGTGAAAATTTAACCTATGTCATACATTTAATCCTATGAACCTTTTTGTACAAGGAAGCTTCACAAAATATGTGGACATTTTTCACTATATTTTATTCTCATTTTTCCACGAATTTCTTGAAGTACCCTCACTTCATAAATATAAAAAAAAATTCAGAACTGATGCTTGCTTCTTCTTTCTGTGCACAGTTTGAAGAGTGACCAAAAATTACAAAATAAGCATAATTGGGAATACAAGATCTATTTTACTGGGAAAAAATACATAAAAAAACAAGCTACTGATCTGACAATGTTAATCATGAATTTTTAGTGATACCATCTATCCAGTTGTGTGATTTCTTTTCTCTGTGATGTTTTTCAATTACATTCTACTGAAGAGTTTACATTTATTATCATACCTATGCTGACTCTCAAATACAATATAATACTCATAACTTGGTTTAAAAATTAACTGAGTCACACTGTTAACCTCAACAGTTCAAAACTAGCAGCTGTTCCATGGTAGAAAGATGTGGCTTTCTTCTCCCATAAAGATTTACAGCCTCAGAAACCCCATATAGGATTACCATGAGTCTGACTCCATGGCAAACCACCACCACCACAACCAATCAGTATCTGGTGTGGTGCTGTGGGATAAAGCACTGGAGTACAAGGTTGATTTGAACCACAAGGTCAGCAGTTCAAATTCATCAGCAGCTCCTTGGAAACCCTATACAGAGTTGCTATGAGTTAGAAGTGACTCGACAGAACTTAACAATAACAATCTGTATCTGGAGTCCTGGTGTAGAATTGTAAGATAAGCACCAGACTGCTAACTGCAATATCAGTGGTTCAAACCCACCAGCTGCTCCTTGGAATCCCTATACAGGATCACTATGAGTCAGAACAGACTTAATGGAACTTATCAGCAACAAACCATATCTTTAAAACATTTCAATTACAGTATTAAAAAGAAAACCCTTAAAAATAATCTGACCTGAGTTAATTCAGAATTGTCTTGTTGACTTGCAATAATTAAGTAATTTTGATTGTCTGAAGAAAAGTGTCTTACTTGAGAACTTTCTGGAATAGTGATTGTTTGTACCTGCAACAAAAGACAAGACAAGACAACAGGAATAAAAAAATCCAATGAGAATGTAAGTAAGAAAAGCATGGGATATAATGAAAATATGAAACTTAAGTCTGAAAAAAATTCTGATCACTAAGTATGTATATCTAGGTGCCACTGCAAGAAAGACATACCCCACAATTGAGAATCTTTGTTAAATATGTAACAACATGGGAAAATAAAGGCCTTTTTCACATACAGTATCTTCTTCTATCTGGTGTGGCACTGTGGGTTAATGTACTGAACTGCAAAGTCGGTTAGAACTGCAAGGTCAGAAGTTCAAGCTCACCAGCCGCTCCTTGGAAACAGGGTCACTAGGGGTTAGAACTGACTCGACAGAACATAGCAACAACAACACACAACATCTTCTATCTAAACAAACTCACAAATCTGATGTTTTATTTTTATAAAGCATCTACAATGAAAAATAGTTATTTTCTTACCAGTAACAATTTGAATCCAGATGTAAATGTATACACACTGTTAACAGAAGAATTTTCGTTATTTAGTTCTTCATGAGTAATCACAAAGTAGGGAGAAAGACCAATGTTAAAGACCTCACAAGATTTAGGGTTTTCTATATTTAAATCCTAGGAAATGAGAAATAAGAATAATAGTAATTCAGTTACATTAAAAATTTAGAAATGTTCTATTTTGTCAGCCATAAAATAAGTGGTATTTACCTCAATTGGAATAAAAGTCCCTTGCCATCGATAAACAGTAGAAAACCCCATAAATGATTTTCTTAACATTATACCATATATTGAATCTTCCAAAGTAAAGAAACACCAACCAGAAGTTGATTCATTTAAAAAAGTTTGCAGTATGGAAAACGCAACATCTATTCCCCCTGAAAAAAATAAGAATCTTTAATAGTATACAATGCAAATCATATATATTCTAAACTGATTGTCTAAACAGTAAGACCATTGAGTGTGTTACTAGAGATAAAAATATTTTTATGATTTGTGTGTCAGTGAGAAGGCAGAACACTTAAAACTAATAGCTATAATTTTAAAAGCAAACGTTAATACTATATAATCACCTAGACCTTACTAAGAATATTTTAAAATACTAAATGTATACTTAAGGTAAATATGCTGAACATGAATTTATCAACTTTCAGAAGGATGACAAAACTGACTATAATAAATTTTAAAATAATGTCCTTTACAGAAGTATGTGAAATATTGGTTTTTTAAAATTTACACTATTAATTTGAAACAGTGCCCATATAATGATTTCTCACTTTAAACATCTTTTAAGATTGCCAGGACAGACAGACATATTATTTCAAATGACTGTCAAGGTCTTATCAGCCTACTATACCTGGAAATATCCTACAATTCTAACTACCAAAAGGAAAAAAAAAAATGAATTCTTACATTATGATGAATAGCTATTTAAAAATCCTATGTTCTATTATCATGATTCTTTCTGAAAGAAAGTAAATTCTTCTTAAACTTTAATTAATGGTGTCAACAAGATGCAGCTTTTTAGAATCTCAGATGGTACTGACCATTTGGCAAATCTTTCCCTACTATAACTGAATAAACTGATGGAAGAAAAAGCAAAAAATGCTGGCACTTAAAAATCTCCACTTCTACCGGTACTTCCAACAAACAAACAAACAAACAAGAAGTTCAGTTAAAAATAAACTGAATTAGAAATTTTCTATGAATTTTATGCCTTCTATCTTCAACCTCTGATTATCTACTAGGCCTTTTCTATTATCATTTATACATGTGTAGGTCTTTCCAAAATAAATAGACAAACAAGAACCCTCTGAACCTTACTTACCACTTGCCACCTTATCTGTTCTACATCACAACTTCCCATCTGAACTTCTGAAAAAATCCATATTCAAGGTATCTATTTCTTTATCTCCATTTTAAATGTGATTCAATTTTTGTTAAGTGCCATAGAGTCAGTTCTGACTCAGAGACACCATATAGGGTTTCCAAGGAGCAGCTCATGGATTTGAGCCACCAACCTTGTAGTTAGTAGTCAAGTGCTCACCCTACAGCACCACATCCACAAATGTAGCTCTTGTTATGGTCAGTAATAACCTTCTATATTTTTAACTACAAGGAATAGATATTTTCTCACTTTTTATCTCACCAGATTTTTCAATAGCAACTGACACAATTGAATATTCCTTCCCTTTGAAAACACTCTTCTGTTGGTGTCTGCAATTCTCTCATGAATCTCCCACCAAGTTTTCTCAATTTCCTTTGCTAAATCATTTATCTCTCCTTAGCTATTCAATTATAGCCTTCTCAGACTTCAGTTGTGGATCCTCTTCCTGTCCCTAACTTCAGTCTCTCTTTCTTATTGGATCAATTTGTTGTTGTTGTTAAGTGTCATCAGCTCAGTTCTGACTCACAGTGTCCCTGTATAGGGTTTCTGAAGAGCAGCTGGTGAGTTTGATACACCGACCTTGCAATTCAAACCAACCTTGTGGTCCAGTGCTTGATCCTATAGCACCACATAAGGACCCCTGAACTAGAATATAAAAAAGATTTCCAAATTTACCTCTACAGCAAAGACCTCTTTTTTGATATCTAGAGAAATTTCTTCTCAAATGTAACTCAAGATGTGTTAAACCACATTTTACTACCTTCATCAAAATAACACTTTACTCATTTCATACTGTACCCTTTTTTAGTTAATGACAGGACCCCCTAAAACAACTGTACAAGGTAAGAACCAAGCAATCATCCTTAATACCTATGAACCTCTCTTTCACATCCATTCCATCCTCTAGTCTAAGCTAACAACATCTCTTCCATTTTTGTCACACTGCATCATCTCTTATTCTTATGTACCAACCCAATCTCTACATGACACCCAAAATATCTTCAAAATACAAATGTGATCGTACCATGTAATGCAGATATACACATTATAGCCATTCTTGATGCCAAAACGATTCCAAAGTTGTCCATTACCATTAGAATAAAGATAGAAATTTATAACAAATTCTTCAAGTTACTAAATGATCTGATCCTGTCTATTTCTCCAGTCTTAACACCATGCCATATTCTATGTCCATTGTTTTCTCTTGTAGTGTTCATTTAGGATTTGTTCCTTATGCCTGTAGGTTTCTAACTAGACTACTTCCCACTCTCACTCTCTTGTTCCTTTAAACCAGTTCTTGGCATAATCAATTTCTATTCATCACTAGCTTTCAGTGAATACGCTGATACCCATACGAAGCAGTCCCCTGGATTCTCACAGCAGCCAGATCTTGCCCTTTAAAATATCTAATGGATTTTCAACAAAAGCTCAAATTTTGCTTATCTATGTTTGTCATCTCCTAAATTCAAAGTTGTGAGGGTTCAGCACCTTGCCTGGCATTCAACAAATATTTGCAGGTGCAATAAAATAAGTAGGTGTCTATTTTCATTGTCAACAGATTCATAAGATACATTTTAGCAGGGAAATGAAAACCTTATATATAGAATCTTTCTTGGTTACTGAATTTTCTTCTATAAGAAATTGAACATACTCATGCCAAAAGCTGTTTCAGATATTGTCTCCCACTCCACACTCACAGCTGAGTCAATGCCATTAGTACGTGACACGTTTAAATATAGAGTCCTGTTGGCTTCTTCAATGGCTAGAGAAGTGGCTCTAAACAAAACAAATGTGATGTGGAAAGCAAATAAAAATATGATTTCTAAATCCTTAAAATAAATATTACATTTCTAGCATATACTTAATATACATTTAAATTTATACAAGCCAATGTGAAATCTACAAATTTATATATCTAAACTATAAAAATATTCACCAATGAAAAGAAAAATAACACAAATGCAACATTCTGATCTATGACCATAAGAAAATAAATAAAATCAATCATTTCAAACTATAAATTCTAAAAAATAAAACATGCCATCATTGCTGTTTATTCTCAAATAACTCAAAATAAAGTTTACAAGAAAAAATGAGTCAGGAAATTCTTATCATACTGATAAAACTAGATGCATTGGTATATTTCTAAACTATAAATGTCAGCTTCCAGAGGAAATTTTAGATTACAATCCTGTTAACATGCTTGAAAAGTAGTTTATTTAGCATTAGCAGCTAAATATAATTTATATTATGTCTCAGTTTTTATTATTAAAAACACAAAATAGTGCAGGCCTTTTCCTGAAAGTGTGAACTCTAAGAAGATAAGACTGCTAATCACACAACTATATAAGACATGTTTAGCTTCTCCATGGTCCCTGTTATAAAATGGAATGAGAATTCTCTGGATCAGTCTCCTGGAGTTCATTTTAAAGGTTCCCTTTAAAATAATCAGCAATCCACTTTCATGTACATTTTCTTTATGTCAAAAATCAATTTCCTACTTCGCTTCAGATGTGATCATTTCTTTATGAATAAACTATACCTATTTTCAACTGCAGAGATACTGAATAGCCCCAGAGGGGCCTGGTTTTGCAAAACTGTTATCAGGGTTTGAACAGGTGCTCCTAATCTAGCACCTCCAGTTGGACTTAACAAGGTGCAAAGAAAATGCTCATCCATTTCAGGTTCCGTGTCTAATACAGCAGATATGTGTAGGGCCTGAAAACCAGAGAAAAGATCAACATATTAAAATATAGCATTTTGCAATAATAGATACACACACTGAGAAATCTGCCAAACTTGTTTTTTTACAATAAAGTACTATGTTCTGGAAAGCATCACCTATTTTAAATAATGATTCCCATAATGTATAAGTTATAACTGTTTTATTATTTTTGGAATTTTCATTACTGTGATACAGTGCACAGAAGTGTCTAAAAAAGTCTCAAATATGTCAGGCATTTTAAAATAACACTAAGATTAAAATATTAAGTGGATCACTTCATTCTAATTTACCTTGCCCTGGGAATTCATAGTTAAAGTTAGCATAGGGAGAATAACCCCCAAATTGAAGCAATCCAAATATTCATCAGGAGGAAAATGGATAAACACATAGTGATCTAGTCAATAAAATTGCCATAGATTTGATTCTAACTCATAGTAACACTGTAACATAGAGTAAAACTGCCACACAGTATTACCCAGGCTAAAATCTTTATGGAAACAGACTGTCTCATCTTTCTACCATGGAGGGACAGGTGGGTTTGAACCAATGACCTCTTGGTTAACAACCAAGTGTTTTAATCATGGCATCACCAGGGCTCCTCAATGAAATATTACTCAGAAAAGAAACCAAATCTGTTATGTGCAACCACTTGGACTTCAAAATTTATGTTAATGAAACTCAAAACCATTAAAAGACCAGTCTTTCTGGTCAGATAGGGAACCCCTGAGATTATGGCCAGGTCTAGAAATGAACTCATATTCAATGGCTCAATTTTCAGTCAAACAATAGAAAGATCTATAAGAGGAACAATAATATTGGTAAGGTACTCACACCTTAAAATAGCAACCGTTTGAGTTCAGAAGGCATCATTTACTCACAGATAAAGTTCAGAGGGGTCAGAAAAGAAAGAGGAATGGAAACAAGTGATGTTACAAAGAAGGGATTACAATCAATGACATGAAACAAAATCATTATGAATTGCTGAATATTAAAAACAAACAAACAAAAAAAAACCTATGTTCTGCTCTATAAGCCTTCACCCAATTCACAATAAAGTTTTGTTATATTTTTTTAAATGTTAAGGAAAGAAATCAGACACAAAAGAGCACACCTAATATATGATTGCGTTTATATGAATTTCAAGAACTGGCAAAATGAGTCTTCAATGATAGAAACCAAGATATAGTTCCCTCTAGGGAAAGGGGCAGGAGGGAATCTTCTGGTGTGATGATAATGTTCAGTATCTTAATGCATGTGCAATGTGAATGCATATGTGAGTGTGTGTGTGTGTGTGCAGTCACTGAAACATACACTTAAAATAAGTGCATATTTATGTCTCAAAATAAAAACAAGTGAAAAATGAGTAGTTACAACAGTTAAAATATATTCCATCCAATTGCTCTAACATTCAATTTGCCGAATGAACAGAAAGGACTTTAAACAAACTATTAAAAAGAATGTTTTAAGATAAAACAATTATAAAGAAATTGCAAATTCATAATACTTCAAAATGCATTTTTAATATCTATGTAAATTTAAGTGTAAAAATTATTGAAAAATCAATTGAAGATTGTAAAAACCCCAAGAAGATGGAAAACATGGATATGCAAATGAATGTTGATATTGTTAAGTGCCGTGGAGTCGGTCTGGACCCATAGCAACCCTGAACAGGGTTTCCGAGGCTGCAAATCTTTACCGGAGCAGAAAGCCTCATCTTTCTCCCGCAGAGAGTCTGGTAGAATCGAACTGCTGACCTTAGGGTTCCCTGCCCGATTCTTAACCACTACGCCACTAGAGCTCCTTATGCAAATGAATACACACTCATAACTGTTGAGTGTTTACCCAAACCTATCACAAAGCAAATTAGGTATTGGCTGGACTGTTTTAAAATGAAATTTAGTATAGTATTTTATATTATACTTTGTATGTTGTTGTGAAGTGCCGTCGAATCGGTCCTGACCCATAGTGAACCTGTATAAGGTTTCCAAGGAGCTTGAACTGTAGACCTTGCAGTTCAAACGGCTTTGCAGTCTGGAGCATTAACCCACAGCACCACACCAGGACAAAACTGCTGGAAGGAGTGGTGGCTGTGTGCCGTGGAGTCAGTTCCAACGCATAGCGACCCTGTACAGGGTTTCTGAGGCTGTCAATCTTTATGGGTGCAGAAAACCTCATCTTTCTCCGGTGGAGCGGTTGGTAGTTTCAAACTGCTGACCTTGCGATTCGCAGCCCGATTCATAGCCACTACACTGCCAGAGCTACGAGAGCTACCAGAGCTCCTTATATGTTGTTGTTGTTGTTGTTATGTGCCATCGAGTCGGTTCCGACCCATAGCAACCCTGTATAGGGTTTCCGAGGGTGTAAATCTTTACGGGAGTAGAAAGCCTCATCTTTCTCCCGAGGAGCGGCTGGTAGTTTTGAACTGCTGACCTTAAGGTTCGCAGCCCGATTCGTAACCACTACGCTACCAGAGCTGATAAATACTGTTAAATACACAATCCTGCAACAACAGTGTTTTGCAGATAGACACAAAGACAGATACACAGGTTGAACAAGTATGGTAAGGTGAGTGGGAATGGCCACAAACATAACAGTCTGATGTAGAACATTTGTACATGGTATTTACTCTGGCTGCAAACACAGCTGTGAATGTGGTGGATCATGCAGAGGCCAAATTATAAAAATTTCTTAGCCATTACCAAACAACTTCAAGCAAAGATTTGCTGGCCCTGGGGACTCAGGACCATAATCTCAGGGAATATCATGGCCAATTTGCATAATAAAGTCCACAATGACAATGTTCTACATCCTACTTTGGTGAGTCTTGACTGGGATCTTAAAAGCTCATAAACACACAACTGCACAGATGGCAGTCTTGTAACATAAAGAGGGGAGTAGTTAATCCTACATTCCAGAAACAGGACCCTAGGACCATCAAGGGAGAAGAGCACAAGTGGAATGTGGACCTTATCCAGAGAAGCAGTGAGATCAGGGATGGAGGCAGAGATGGGGACATGGAGAGAGGGAGCAGCTGAGGACTCTAGACTCAGGGAAAGAGAAAGGCTGTGTGCTGGCCGCCGGGGGCAGGCTTGTAGAATGTGCCCTTGGGTCATTAAAATGATTATATATTCCTGAGTGTTTTTGTGTACTTCAAAAAAAAAAACAGAGGGAATAGAAGCAAAATCCACTGTCATTCAGTCACTGTGAGTCGGAATTGACTGGATGACAGTAGATTTTGTTTAGTTTTCAGGCAATGTAAAGTAGAGTATACCACATAAATATGCTTAAAATTTAGTGTTAATATTTATTTTCTTTATGATTTCTACACTCCAATGCCCTATTATATTACCAAACAAAATTTCTCCAGCTGCACTCTATACAAACTCCACTATAGCTATTTAATTTAATCATGCCTTTACGTATTGCCTTAGCTGGGAGTTTTTGTATATGTCTTTCCTCCTTAAGACCTAAGGTGTCTGCTCCAAGAAAAAAATATTTTTCAAGTATTAAAGACAATTTTTCCTTTTCATTAATGGTTCATACCGTACCTTGAGTCGAACACCTTCTTCAAAAACAATATAGCCTTTGGAAGGGGTCAGGTCTTTAGACTCAGTTGAAGAATTCACTTCTGTCACAATGAACTGAGCTGTTACAGTTCCAAAGAGTCCTTGTGCAGGTTCCCGAACAATGTACAATATAGCAACACTCTCTTGTACATAGAGAGCTGTTGGTTCTCTTAGGAAAAAGTGCTCACTGTTGTTAAATGATAGTACACCAGGGCCATCATCATTAGCAAGAACAGTCACTAAGGCTGTCAAAATGAAAATATTAAAATAATAAATCAAAATAGAATGAATTATAAGTGCTCAATTAGCATGGGTTTTTATTGGAAACTAGTTTAACTCTTCTCTTTGTAACACTGGAAACAAAGGAAAATTGTAAAGCTTTCAATAAACTTCCATATTCACTTATAATATAAAAATATTCAATTATCTTGAAATAAAAGGAAACTTCCTCAACCTGATGAAGTTATATATAACAGAAGTCTATAGTAAATATAAAATTTAATGTTAAAACATTGGAAGTGTTCCTCCTAAAAACAGAAAAAAAAAAAAAAATGATGTTTGCCATCCCTCTTTTATTCAGTACTGTCCTAAAGCTATCTGCTAGGTAACAGGTATAAAAATAATAGGAAGGAAGAGTCAGAGCTGAAGCTGTCACTATTTTCTAGATAACATGATTATCTACTTATAAAACTCAAGAGAAAAGAATTATTAGAAGTATATCAATACAGGCTGAACAACCTTAACAAATCAAGAGTTTTCTACTTACTACTACTACTAATAAAAATGAACTCATGGTGTGGTACTGTAGGATTGGCATTGAACTGTGACTCACAAGGTCAGCAGTTCAAACCCACCAGCTTCTTCTTGGAAATCCTGTGCAGAGTCACTATGAGTCGGAACTAACTCCACAACACTAAAAACAATAACTAGTAAAACTATTAATATAGTAACTGCAACAACAGTTAAGACTACTTGTTGCATTGTTAAATGTTGTTGAGTCAGTTTCAACTCATAGCAACCCTGTAATGGGTCTCCAAGGAGTGACTTACGGGTTTAAGCTGCTGTCCTCACAGTTAGAGTACAGTGCTAACCCTGTTGTTGTTGTTGTTGTTGTTATGTGCCGTGGAGTCGGAACCGACCCATAGCGACCCTGTACAGGGTTTCC